TCCCTGCTCACAGGGATGCTCAGCGCACCTCTTTTTGAAGCCGGGAGTTTTCCAGCTTAAGGAAATGGCCACCGGAGTGCTCCTGTGAGCAGGGATGGACCTGGGTGCCGATTTCGGTGGCTAAATCCTTCTGATAACATCAGGATGCCACCTGTTTTAAATTTTAAGCCAGCTCAGGTAAACTGCTTTTATCATCTGTGCAATAAGATTTATCATCTGAAAACAATCCCGCTTTTGTGGGATATTCCCGGATTGAAATCCCGTTTATCCACAGGATTTGGGCACTTCCCTCCCATGTGATAAACTCTTAACTGAAAGAGAAAAGTTGAGGAGCATGAGCTTTTGTAGACTTGTAGCCAGAACAAGCAAGATATCACGAGCAAAAAAATTCTAAGTAAAAATATGACCCTACTGATATTTTAGGCTTTCTGAAACCACAGTACAGTCATCCCTCCGTTTTCGCAGGGGATCCGTTCCGGACCCCACCGCGAAAATGGAAAATCGCAGATATTCAAGCCCCATTCGTTTGAATGGTCGCACACTCCTGCACATGGTTGTGCATGTGCGCTGCGTGCATGCGCACCATTTTAGGCAATGGGGCTTGCCAGTCCGCAAAGGACCGAGACCACAGACTCGAAATCTGTAAAAACGGAGGGACAATATAATGTATAATGTTTCTGAATATGAGAAAGAGGGAGCTGCAACAATTATTAAGGTGGGATTCAATGCCAATAATGTTCCTTATTATTCTATGCAAAATCCCACCTTTCTCCTTGCATGGGATCTAAGATGGCTTACAAAAAGTCTAAAACTAGACAAACCTAAACCTGTTGTTGCTGTTGTGTGTCTTCAAGTCATTTCTGATTTATGGTGACCCTATGGGCAAACATATCACACGGTTTTCTTGGCAAGATTTGTTCAGAGGTTTTTTTGCCATTGCCTTCCTCTGAGGCTGAGAGAGTGTAACTTGCCCAAGGTCACCCAGTGGGTTTCCATGACAGAGCTGAGGATCGAACCCTAGTCTCCAGAATCATAGTCCAATGCTCAACCACAACACCACACTGGCTCTCGCAGCTAAACACTTGATAATAAAAAAGTTAAAACATAATTAAATAGGTTATCACATGAAAATATAAAATTTTAAATAAATTTTTAAGAAGTGTAAAATCAATCTGGTTGTTTGTGTTTCTGTGGAAGCCAGCATGGCATTATATTTGACTTGTTGGACTATGATACTGGAAGGCAAGAGTTCGAATCCCCACTTGGTCATGATAACCCTCTGGGTGATATTGGGAAAGTCACACTCTCTCAGCCTGAGAGGAAGACAAGGGCAACCCCTACTGAAAAAAACTTGCTAAGAAAAGCAGTGATGCATTCACCTTGGGATTGCCATAAGTCAAAACCAACTTAAAGGCACACAACAACAACAAAATCATTTTAAATATACTAACAAATTAAAAAATACAGCACACACCCCTCATAAAAGCACTGTCTACAAACAATCCAATTAATAAACTACATACAAACCTTGTAAAACTACAGATCCCAGGATTGCCTAGGCTGGAGCTACAACATTCATAGTGGTGTCAAAATGAATTCTTTCTATGTAGATGGATAATAATACATTGACCCCACTTTTAACTGCCATGACTCCATGATCCTACACAATCCTGGGACTTGTAGTTTGGTGAGACACCACCAGCCTTCTTTGGCAGAGTTGACTATAGACCTTGCAAAACTACAGATCCCAGGACTGATTAGCATGGAGCCACAGAACTGAAAGTGGTGTCAAACTGCATTCTTTCTACAGTGGAGATACACACAATAATGCAGTTTTCCACTTTAACTGCCATGGCTCCAGAATCCTACAGAATCCTGGGACTTTTAGTTTGGCAAGGCACCACCAGCACTTTTTGGGCAGAGGTGGCTACAGACCTTGCCAAACTACAGATCCCAGGGCTGCTTAGCATGGAGCTACAGCACTTAAAAGTGGTGTCAAACCGCATCCTTTCTACAGTGCAGATGCATAAATAATGCAGATTGGCACCACTCTGCAAAACTATAGACCTTGCCAAACTACAGATCCCAGGACTGCTTAGCATGGGGCCCCAGCACTTAAAAAGAGGTGTCAAACTGCACCATTTCTGCAGTGTGGACGCAACCCCCCCCAACATGTGACAGTGAAACCCACGCAATTCTGACCCACACCCCCCATGAACCAGCAAAAAATGCAAAACTACAGAGCCACACTAAGCTCCCAAACCCTACCGAAGAGGCTGCGGCTTGTTTTTTTGCTTTTTCTCCCTCTGCTCCCTTTCAGACGGCTGCAGAGAGCTGGGTGCAAAAGAGGGACCTTGCAAAAACCTGGAGGGCCGGCTGGAAGGGGGACCTGGGAAAAAAAGGCAGCCTACAAATCTCCTCCTTTGCTTGCATTTCCTTCTTCTTCTTCTCCTCCTCCTCCTTCTTCAATCCCACTACTGCCCCCTGGTGGAGGAATCCGTCCCTGCTTCTAAAGGACAACTTTTAAGGAGGGAAAAAAGAGATTATTACTGTATAAGTATGAAGAAGGGTAGTGACTGCAGGCAAGAAAGCCAAGGAAGGTGCAGCTATTATTATTTGCTGCAGCATCTACACTGCAGAAATAACCCAGTCTGACACTGCTTTGACTGCCATGGCTCCAGGCTATGGGATCCTGGGATTG